GCCCAAGGGGTCGGCGGCGCGGCGCAAGCCAATGAATCTAAGGAACCTGAGAGACCCCACGAAGGCCCGGTTAGCGGGACCAGAAAGTGCAATTGTTTAGTGTTCTTACGTGTGTCAGATTGGCGTTGCTTGCATACGTGCTTCCTGTCCTGGGCCCTTCCTGTCCTGTTGGTCTGGGGTCCGTCCTGAGAGCCACCGCCCCCTCAGGCCCTTCAAAGGCCTCCCTACTGACCCGGGTCAACAAAAAACCAAAAAACTGCAATGCAAGAAACAACAACTGCAACGCAGGGCTTCGCAAACCCGGGTCAGCCAATCTGCGCGGCCGCCTCGCGGCGACGAGCGGCTCGCTATTCCTGGTCAGCCAGAGGGGGTCTTCGCAGGATTCTGCAGCATTCGGTGCCCTGGCCGACCCCCATTTGCATTGACCCCCATCTGTTGAGCCCCGAGGGGAAGGAGGAGGAGGAGGAGGGGGAGGAAGGGTAGAAGGAGGAGAAGGAGGAGGAGGAGGAGAAGAAGGAGGAGGAGGAGGAGGAGGGGGAGGAGAAGGAGGAGGAGGAGGAGGATGATGAGGAGGAGGAGGCGGAGGAGGGGAGAGGAGGAGGAGGAGAAGGGGGAGGAGGGGGAGGAGGAGGAGGAGGAGGGAGGAGGAGGAGGAGGAGGAGGAGGAGGAGGAGGAGAGGGGGAGGAGGAGGGGGAGGAGGAGGGAGGAGGAGGAGGAGGAGGAGGAGGGGAGGAGGAGGAGGAGGAAGAGGAGGAGGAGGAGGAGGAGGAAGGAAGGGTAGAAGGAGGAGGAGGAGGAGGAGGAGGAGGAGAGGAGGAGGGAGGAGGAAGGAAGAAGAGGAGGGTAGAAGAGGAGGAGGAGGAGGAGGAGGAGGAGGAGGAGGAGGGGAGGAGGGGGAGGAGGAGGGGGGGGAGGAGGGGGAGTGGGAGGGGGAGGTTGAGGAGGAGGAGGAGGAGGAGGAGGAGGAGGAGTTCTTGAGTTCTGGGTATGGCGACAGTGTCGGTTACAATCGAAGCAGCTTAACCCTGCTGCTTCTTCCTGGCCAGTTCGGCTTCACTACGAACTTTAGGCCAGAGTCCACGGGTGATTCTATCAGGACACACTCTACGATTACCATTGACGACATCACTACACACTGCACCGAGCTGTCTCAACTGTTCGGGTGCGAAACAGCCACATGCAGTACAAAACCAGATGCCCAACCCCGAATGGAATCTGAGTATGTGTGATGTGTGAGCGTAGCCCCCCGATATTTGCACCCGCGCGCCAGAGGGGGGTTGCCAAACAACACCGTCCACATTAATTAAGGAAAAACAAGGTGAGCCCATCCACTTGGTTTTGCGAGCATGAGACGCAAAGCCCTGACACCTGGAACAGCTCTTGGAGTTTTCCTTGAGACAATGCTGGGTCGTAAACAAGGCACAAACACTGGCCGCAAGCGGCCTTACAACAGAAGAAACATGCTGCTGACGCCTACGCCTACACTGGCCCCCCTCGGCGACCTCGAAGGAGGAGGAGGAGGGGGAGGAAGGGTAAAAGGAGGGGGAGGAGGAGGAGGAAGAGTAAGGGTAGAAGGATGAGGAGGAGGGGGAGGAAGGGTAGAAGGAGGAGGAGGAGGAGGAGGAGGAGGAGGAGGAGGAAGGGTAGAAGGAGGGAGGAGGAGGAGGAGGAGGGGAAGGGGGGGGAGGAGGTGGAGGAGGGGGAGGAGGAGGAGGAGGAGGAGGGGAGGAAGAGTAGAAGGAGGAGGAGGAGGAGGAGGAGGGGGAGGAGGAGGAGGAGGAGGAGGAGGAGGAGGAGGAGGAGGAGGAGGAGGAGGGGAGGAGGAGGAGAAGGAGGAGGAGGAGACGGCTCCGCCGCCCGTCTCTGAAGCCCCGATCGCAGCGCATTCAGGCGCTGCGGGCCCCCGCCTCCCGAGCCCCGGCCCTCTGCCGCTGTCCTCTCCCGTCCCTCCTCCCCCTTGGTACTCGCCGCCTGCAGGCACCGTGGTTCGAACTAAGGCCTTGATTACCAGCCTGGCTGGCCTGTGTTCATTTGAGACAGAAGGCTGCCTGCCCAACAACGACCGCTGTTGGTTTGGGACAACATGTGTTGTTGGGCATTGTACCCATGTTTCCCTACCCATTTCGGGCGTCCAAAGTTTGGGCAAGGACGAGAAGATTCGTTCACGTCAGACTCGAACTCGCTGGAACTCGGGCTTGCCGACGTTTTTCGACAGGCCCATCCTGGCTCTTGACGGTCCAGGTTCCGTGGGATGCTTGCAGCGGGAGCCCGCGTCGAATTTTGAGATTGGGTCTCGTCATTTTCCTGACGGCCTTGTCAGGCCAACCCTTACCAGCCTGGAACATATCCCTATCCCTATGCTGGGCATTTCCTCATCACGATGCCAATCTCAGGGGTTCCCTTATTCTTCGAGGGCGCATCCCTAGGATTGTCGTCGCCTTCTGGCGTGTCAATCTTAGGGATAGGGATAAGTTCGAGGCTGGTAACTTGAGTCGAGCCGGCGACCGACAAGGCCGATCGCCGCGCCTCCTCAGCGGGGCCCAGCCTCGAGAAGGCCAACATCGAACAGGAGGGCTCCCCGAACGTTGCCAGCGCGTCCTTCGCAGAAAGGAAGTGGAACAAAAAGGCCCCTGAAATCGTGCTACAAGCGCGGCCCCGAACAGCGAGGTGCCCCAGACCAGGGCAAGGAACGCACGCCCCACGAACCGACCTGCGATAAGAAAATGCATGCTGTGAGCAGCGCGCCGCGAAAAGACAGCCAGCCAAGAGGAGGCAATGGGCGAGGCACCGATGAGAGACCGCCCCAGGCCCTCAGCATGCCGAAGGCTCATCGTGAGCGCGTGTAGCACAGCGAAGCAAGAAGAAGGCGGAGGAGGAAGAAGAGGCGAAGGAGAGACAAGTAGGTGTAATCTGTGTGAGAGTGATTTTGAAACAGGTTCCACCCTATTTGCGCCTATCAGGGTTAAAATATGTCCCCGTTTGCGCCAAGTAGTGCCTATTACCTCCTACTGGCGCCTACTGGTGTTGATAAGCGCCTACGACCGACCACTCATGACGAGAAGAAGCGTCCATGGACGGAAACCTTCCACGCAAAACACACCGAACGAAAGGGACGCAGAGCAATCCTTTTGGGGGGGGGGGACGCGCACTTGTTCCGCCCGCCAACAAACGCAGAACATCCAGGGGTACCCTCCCCAGGATGCACAAGCACATCTGACAAGCACGAAGAACACCAGGGCACCCTCCCCGAATCGACCTCGATCCTATACGTCGGCCCGACGGTAACGACAGGGACGCAGGGCAGCCCACGTGCACGTGGGGGGGGAGGGGGATTGAGGAGGATTAGGAGGAAGAATAACAGAAAGAGAAAGAAAAACAAAGGGGGCTGAGAAACAGGAAACGGAAAGCAGGTCCTCAACCCTTGTGGATGCCATGACAATGGACACCCTAACACTCCCATCCCCATCAATGAATTCTACATGTGTTTTAAACCTTTGGGCAAATGACCCAAACATGCGTTAAACAACAAAAGTGCTTTACATGGTTAAGCCATGTTTAAACCATTGTTCTGGACGTCTGGAAATCATGTGGCAACATGCTTCCTCTCAACCGTCGTCCACAACTCAACTCTCGACCCACCCACCCCCTCGAGGAAGAGACACGGGCAGAAACACAAACTTTCGCGGAGATCCGCGCGGGCCTTGGAGACCCCCCTCTCGAAGAAGCGACACCAACACAAGCACAAACCTGAGTCGGGCATGTCCCTCTACAGGGGGACAACTCAAGAATAGTGTTCAAATGTTATGGGGGCGATGTCTGACTACTTTTGAATATGTTTGGTGTAGTTTGTAATGTTCGTAAAAATCCGCCTGTAGGGGAAAACGCCCCACCTAACACAAGCAGAAGCGCTCGGAGATCCGCGCGGGCTTCTCGGAGGCCCCCCTCCCCTGGCGCGCGGAGCGCCGCCAAAGGGGGGGTGGACGGCGCAGATCCAAGCCACCCGCGCGGGACTCCTCCTCCTCCTCCCCCTCCCCCTCCTCCTCCTCCTCCTCCCTCCTCCTCCTCCCTCCTCCTCCTCCTCCTCCTCCTCCTCCTCCTCCTCCTCCTCCTCCTCCTCCTCCTCCTCCTCCTCCTCCCCGCCCTCCTCCTCCTCCTCCTCCTCCTCCTGCTCCTCTTCGGCTCACGCGTGCGGTCACCGTGCTGCCGCGAGGAAGGCATCCCAGGGAGGGTGTGCGGCTCTTGTCTGTCCACGGCGGGCCTGGGCCACAAACAGGAGCCTCAAATCAGGGCAACCAGAAGGTACCGATACCGCTGCTCCCTGGGCCTCTCCCGGGTTGCGTTCTGACAAGCATTTCGAGGCGAATTCAGCGGTGGCGACGAGGGCCTCCCAGGAGGCCCAAGACGAGGAAAATCAGGGAAGGGTAGCGGTATGGGTACCGTTCCCTCCTCCGAGAAATGGTCATGATTTCAGCGTCGTATTGCCCCCCCCCCGCATCACCGTCCGCCTGGGGACAGAGTCGGGGATCTACTGACCTGGGTCGGGCCAGACCTGGGTCAGTCGGGCTTTGCAGGAACCTGCAACATCTTTCAGGATCCTGCACCCAAGCCCAGGTAATTTCACCTCTGGCGCTGCAGGATCCTGCAAAATCCGGCGCTCCGACTGACACCGGTTTGCATTGAACCCCCTACTTCCCCGCTCTCCCTGGTCCTCCTGACCTACTCGACGCTCCCCTTGATCCTCCTCCTGATGATCCTTGTCCTCCTCTTCCTCCTCCTCTTCCTTCTTCCTCCTCCTCCTCCTCCTCCTCCTCCTCCTCCTCCTCCTCCTCCCTCCTCCTACCCCTCCTCCTCCTTTTCCTCCACCTCCTCCTCCTCCTCCTCCTCCTCCTCCCCCTCCTCCTCCTCCTCCTCCTCCTCCTGATCAGTTTGGGCATCGTCTCTCGAGCCCCGACAAGAGGGGGGCGATGCCGCGGGCCCGCGAGCGAGCTGGGGCCACGGCTCGTGCAGGCTGGCGATGGCGGCCTCGGCCTCGTGCAGGGTGCCCATCCTCGGTGCGACCCAGGGGGCAGGAGGATGGAAGGGACGTGCGGAAGGAGGAGGCGGAGGAGGAGGAGGAGGAGGAGGAGGAGGAGGAGATGGTGGAGGAGGACGAGGAGGAAGAGGAGGAAGAGTAGGAGGAAGGAGGAGAGGAGGAGGAGGAGGAGGAGGAGGAGGAGGAGGAGGAAGGGGGAGGAGGAGGAGGAGGGGGAAGAGGAGGAGGAGGAGGAGGAGGAGGAGGAGGAGGAGGAAGAGGAGGAGGAAGGGGAGGAGGAGGAGGAGGAGGAGGAGGGAGGAGGAGGAGGAGGAGGAGGAGGAGGAGGAGAAGAGGAGGAGGAGGAGGAGGAGGAGGAGGAGGGGGTGGAAGAGGAGGAGGTGGAGGAGGAGGAGGAGGAGGAGGAGGAGGAGGAGGAGAGGAGGGGGAGGAGAAGAGGAGGAGGAGGAGGAGGAGGAGGAGGAGAAGGGGGAGGGGGAGGAGGAGGAGGAGGAGGAGGAGGAGGAGGAGGAGGAGGAGGAGGAGAAGGAGAAGGAATAGGAGGAGAAGGAGGGAGGGGAAGAGAAGGAGGAGGAGGAGTAGAAAGAGGAGAAGGAGGAGGAGGAGGAGGAGGAGAAGAGGAGGAGGACCAGGAGAAGGAGAAGGAGGAGGGGCCGATGAAGAATCCTGGCCCTGCGTCGGCCTCCGCGCGCAGCCGCCGTGGCCCTTTGGACGCGCGGTGGCCGGGTGCGCATGGCAGGAAGGCGCGGGAGGGCAGGTGGCGACTACCCTTGGGAGTAGCCTGAGAGGTACGAATGTACCGGGGAGGGCAGGGCGGGGAGGAGGGATAGACGAGGGAGGAGGGTCGAGAGCAGACCATCCACCCTCATGATAGCCACCCTTGGCGCACGAGGCCGTGCAGCAAATGCACCCACGGAAAAAGTCGAACAGGCCAAAGCTGTGTAATAAACGCCCAGGGCCGCTTGGTAAACGCCACTTATCGGGACCGAGTAGTTTTTCCTCCCTTGAAAGGGGGAATATACAGGGTGATAGAGAGAGAGAGAGAGAGAGACGAGAGAGGAGGGGTGAGACGAGGAGGATATGGAGGAGAGATGGGAAGAGGAGGAGGAGGAAGAAGAGGAGGCCGCTCCGACAGGAGGAACCAGTCCGCAGCTTCGGGCATCGAAGAGAAAGAGGAGGGAGAAGAGAAGGGGTGAGAAGAGAGGAACGAGAAGTGAGGAGAAGGACCCTCCATCCACCCTCGATCCCAGTCCTCCTCGAGTCCCGTACCCCGAACCTCGACTCCTCTCCTCGTCCTCTTACTCCTCCTGGGACCTCTGATTTGGAGCGAGAGGGGATCAAAACGAATGTATGTCTTAGGCTCGGGGCCATAGTGTGCATGGCGGCGCCACCACATAATAATAATTTCCGTGGCGGGGGACCGGGACATTTGATAAGCATTCCCTGCCGCGCGCTTGCCCGCGAACTGCACATACAGCAAACTTGATAGTCGTGTCGACGGACGGCGTCGATGCGTAACGCGGCAACAGGCAACCTCATGAAGGGCCCTGTCTCACAGTGCCTTCGGATCTGGCTAATGGCACGCTAATAGCCGCCTGATGTGCCACTAATGACCTCTGCAAGCGCGACAGCGCAACAGAAAGATGAGAAGCGGGACATTCGAGTTTAAAGGTCATTAGCAAGTCACTAGTGGGCCACTAGCTGGTCACTAGTGAGTCAGATTCATCAGTGGGCCGTCAGTGTGCCAAATTCACGAGTGGCCCAGTCGCAGGGCCATTAATTGGCCACTCGTGTGTTTACGGTCATTCGCAAATCATTAGCGGGTCACTAGTGAGTCAGATTTCTCAATGGGCCATCAGTGGGCTAAATTCACAAGTGGGCCATTCGCGGGGCCATTCGTGGGCCACTGTCGGGGCATTGGCGGGCCATTCGTGGGGACGGTGTGTGGGGCATTCGTGGGGCGAGACAACTCGCGGGGCATTCCAGTAGCAGCTTTGAGGATCAAGGGCCTCGCCGACAAACCAACTCCGAACCTCAACTACCGGCAAGGTAGCTTTCAGCCACAAGTGCTGTGTTCCCACCACCGCGCAAACAGGCTGCGCGGCGCAGTAGTCTGCTCAGGAGCTGCTGCGGACGGCGCAAGCCCCTGGCAGGGGCGCTCAGACTACGAGATGGCCCGGACCACGCAGGCGTGCGCGCACGTCGTGGGCACGCTGCCCCTGCGCGGCACTGCTCGGGGAGGCGCGCGCGGGGGGCCAGCGCTGGCGGCAGCGCTGGGAGCGGGCAGACAGCGCCAGGGTCGTCCCGCACGCCACACGCAATTGGGCGAATGAGCTGCGCGTGAACCGTGAGCTGATACAGTCACCTGCATCCGTGGAAGAGTATGCATCTGCTCGCTGCCACACTGATGTCCGACAGATGGTAGGCGCAAATGTCGATGTATCTGATTCGTTGACGAAGAGTCAGCGGAATCGCCTTGCCAACGAAGCTATTCGCGCGGCTGTCGAAACGACGGACGGACATTCTGTCAGTGCAGCTGCTGGCGCAAGGACCGTGCGTCTTGACAGAAGGTGGGCGCGCCAGATGTCGGCGCTCCACTCGGCCCGCTGCGGCCATACATGTGATGCAACCGCCGTCGCACCTGTCAGCATAGCAGCGGGATTGGCCACTTGCGACGCTTCGATGCACCTGTCTGCGAGGCTGTCGAAGCAGGGGTCGGAGACGCTACTGGAACGGCTGTTGACACCGAAAGCAACACTGTTGGTGCGACATGTAAAGTCGGACTTGATTGGACAGGACGCGCGAGAGGACACAAGACCCTTCCAAGGGCCCCATTGCCATAATAATATAGGAGGCATGGGTCGCGAGATTCAGGACACAAGGTTACCCTTGATTTGGGAGTGTCGACCTACTAATCAGGGCCGACTGTAGATCTCGGCGCTGCTGTCATTTCTGGTGTAGCTGTGGCCGCGCACAACGTAAACGGTGGGGTAGCCGTCGGTATACGTGTTCACGCACCTGTCCGGAGGACGAGGAGGAGGAGGTCGGCCTTGCTGTCAAAGCACAAGTCGGAGTTGCTGTCGGTGCAGCTGGCGCAGAAATTGAAGATGTGTAGGTGCGGGCGTGCTTGATGGTGCAGGTCTCTGTGTTCCTGCAGATCTCGGCGCTGCTGTCGGCGTTGCTGTCGATGTAACTATGGTCCCACCCATTGATGTAGCCGTGAGTGCACCTGTCAGCGAGCCGTTGGGGCAGCCCTCGGTAGATACGTCGGCGCAGCAGCAGGCAAGGCTGTCGAAGGAAAGATCGGAGTTGCTTTTACTGCAGCTGTTGGCGCAAGGGTCGAAGATCCCACTGTTAAGTTTAGGCGCGCCTGCTGGTGTGGAGGTCGGCGCTCTGTCAGTGTCGATGCCGGCGCAGCTGTAGTCGCACAAATTGGTACACCCGTCGGTGCCATGTCCAGCTTGGCCGTCGGTCCAGCCATCGGCAAACACGTCGTTGTACGTTTGGGTGCGGCAGTCGGAGCATAGGTCGGAGTTGTAATATGTGCAGCTGCTGGCACAAAGCAAATCGTCCATGTGCGAGTGCTGTACTTGTAGGCACGCCTTCCAGCGTGAAGTCGGCGCCCCTATATGCGTCGGTGCCGAAGTAAATCTGCTCGTGCTCGTTTGTAAACCAATCAACGTACATATCGGCTTAGCCGTCAGGAAAGACGAGATGGTGGGTGAACACGTCGGCGCACCAATCGACGTAGCTGTCCGAGCACATGCCCAAATTGCTGGCGGTGCAGCTGTCGTCGCAGAAATCAACGATGCTGGGCCGAGTGTGGGCACGCTGGCTGATTCATGCGTCGACGCTCCTGTCAGCGTCACTGTCAGTGCTGCTGTAGCCGCGCTTGTTGGTGCAGTCGTAAGTGTAGCTGCTGACGACTCTTTGGCATGACCGTCGGTAAACTGTTCGCACACCTGTCGGCTTGGCTGTCCGATGACGTGGGGAGAAGGGAGGGAAGGGGAGAGGGAGGGATAAAGGAAAGAGAGACGAGGGAGGAGGGGGAAGTGAAGGAGGAGAAGGAAGAGGAGGAGCAGGAGGAGGAGGAGGAGAGTGGATGAGGAGGAGAGTGGAGGAGGATGAGGAAGAGGATAAGGAGGAGGAGGAGGAGGAGGAGGAGAGGGGAAGGAGGGACGAGGGGGGCGGGGGAAAAGAGAGAAGATGAGGATGAGGGACAATGGAGACGTAGAGAGAGGACACAGGAGAACGAGGAGGAGGATGAGGACGAGGAGGATGAAGGAGGAGGACGAGGGGGAGGAGGAGGAGGAGGAGGAGGAGGAGGAGGAGGAGGAGGAGGAGGAGGAGGAGGAGGAGGAGGAGGAAGGAGGAAAGAAAAGAGGAGGGAGGAGAGAAAAGAGGAGGGAGGAGGGAAGAGCGAGGAGAAGGACCCGTGCTGGCGTGCCACGCAGGTCGTCTAAGCTAGCGCCCTCGCCTCCCGCTCGCGCGCCGCCGAACTGGGCGCCCGCGAGTGAGCCCTGCCGAGGCAACGAGGGGGCAACGGGGGCCCGGTGCATTCCCGCAGAGGTGGCCGGCCGTGGTGACGAGGAGCCTCCCAGATGCTCAGAACAAGTGGAAGACATGCAACACCTCGATATCCGAGAACTGCAGAAGCGGAGAGAGAGAGAGAGAGAGTCGAGCAGGGATAGAGATAGGGATGCGGGAATAAAGAGATTGGTAATGATGTATGTCGACGAATCTGTATATATATATATATATACATATGTATAGAGAGACAGAGTGAGAGAGAAAGAGAGAGAGAGCGAAGGAGACAGAGAGAGAGAGAATGAGACAAACAGAACGCCTCATACCCAGAACACATCCGCCAAATTCCGATCCGGGAGGCACGAGACCTCAAGATGGCCGCAGATTCACCCAAGATGGCCCAGGAAGTCCTCCAAAACGACCCAAAGATGCCCAAATCATTGATTTGCTTTTTGCTTTTGAAGGAGTTGGGTGCTTCATTCTTTTCG